TTGAATAGTAGGCGATAAATTAAAATATATTTGATTTAAGTAATTAAACATTGCTCCATAGTAAACTAGACAACATTTTCTTTGATCTAGAGTAGAATTTGTCATTGTCAAAACTATTTAAAGAGGGCTATTGAGCGAACAAGCACAACTAAGTACCGTTTAAAAAAAAGTCATAACTTATTTATGATTTTTTTTACCATCTTTTTACTGTACTACATTTACAATACTTTTTGAAAAACTTTCTCGTTCGATAAGCTCTAAGTCCATATTAATTAAGTTGAGGTTTATTTAGAAACTTTTTGAGATTCACTTTAAGTTGTGTAAAGAAATTATGTGATCTATATCCAATCATTTTAAGTTCTATTTAAAGTGATTTCTGCAAAAATTACTAGAATCAACTGTTGCAAAGGTTTAATTTCTTGTTTTTCGGTGATATAGGATATATTTTAATAAATATAATTGCCTAAAAACACATTTTATTTATGAAAAAACATGTACCACTACAACCCATGGTGGGTCTTGGGTTCATTACTATTTAGGGAAAGCACTATTTTTTGGTTTACGGTTGTGCTAGCCCCCTCCCCCCCCCCAAAATGGTAAAATATAACCATGTTTTATGGAAAAAACTTTTAAAAATACATCTTAAAGAATAATTGTTCGTGTAATTACATTTAAAAGGACTTAAGGAATCACTTAAACACCATTTCATGAAGGTAGTTAGTTTCTTTCTGTTTTTCCAAAGGAATTATCGTTATTTTTATGAAAAAAAAGCTTTCGGGCTTAAGCCCTCCCCACAATTAAATCCTGGATCCGCTATTGGTGCTAGGAGGTCATTTGACCGAGATCACACTCAACCGCCAGGTTTTCCCCCATAATTAATTATTTTAATTAAGGGTACCCAGGGTCTCCCGACTCTTGAATCACCCCACGGTTAATGAAACAGAATAAATATTTTTTCTGCCATGAGCCGGGATTCAAACCTGAGACCTTGAGAATTGTGAGTTCAGTGAAATCGCATTAAATGAATAATTTTTATTTATGCTCTGTATTAAAAAAAAAAAAATGAATATTTACATTAAAAATTATTTATTTATTGGCGAAATATTGAATATTATAGCTGAAAGTAGTTGCTCCCTTGGAACTATTTTCATTGAATTTAAGGGGGAAAAGTATGCAAAAATGTCTTGTTTTAGGTTCACAGACGTCAATTATACAGTTAAGAAATTTGTAACACCATTTTACGACAAAATACTAGACAAAATAATAAAATACAAATTTCTTTTTATATACATATGTTTATATCTTTGGTGTTTAGAATTCACATGTTTCCCAAGTGACTAACGTTTTTTGTTGGATAGTAGGCGCTAAATTACAATATATTTGATTTAATTAATTAAACATTGCTCCATAGTAAACTAGACAACATTTTCTTTAATCTAGAATAGAATTTGTCATTTTCAAAACTATTTAAACAGGTTATGGTATGAATGTGCTCTCAGAACTCTATTATAAATGTCCTTTATTGAGACAGATTATAATATTTATCAATTAAAAAAAATTTAAAGAGGACTATGGGGCGGACAAGCACAGCTAAGTACCGTTTAAAAAAAGTCATAACTTATTTTGTGATTTTTATTTATCACCTTTTTACTGTACTACATTTACCATACTTTTTGAAAAACTTTCTCGTTCGAACTTGTTTTCTGTTTTATGTTTCGCAAGTTGGAATATTCCTCAATCCGACACTGCGGTGAAGATCGGGCAACCGTCTGGCTTTTTCGAATAGACAGATTGCATCGGAGGTCGTTCGGTAACCTTTGGTGAGAAATCTCTCAGATAATCCGTGCAATGGGAGAGAGAAATTATTGGTCTCAGTTATTTTTGAAGTAGAAGTTTTTAACTTCTGGAATGGTACCTATGGCGGAAAATCGATTTCAACTATTTGCATTCAGTTTTAATACTAAAAACGAACCGATTATTCGTTCGATAGCTAAGATAAAAATATTTCAACTCATTGTATCATTAGAAAAATTAAAATTGAACCTATAATATCATATCTCAGTTAGTGTTGCCCAAAATCGGTCTTGGTCTTGCACTTTGCAAGACCAAGACCAAGGCCGCCTAACTGTTGCAAGACCAAGACCAGGACTGGTAAAAAAAATCGATTTTTTATATAAAAATTAGGACAAAATAGTCACTAATACTTGACAATCTTAGTTACTATATGTTAATAATTGGTATAACCAATATACTTTTTCATTTAACTCCTCTAATGTTTCATTCGGGCATAGTTAGGTTTCTCCTATCTAAAAAATTACAGTAATATCTCTATAGTAATAAGCTAATAAGTAACTGCAAGACTGTTGCGAGAGTCTTGCGCAAGACCAAGACCATGACCAAGACTGAGTTTGCGAGACCAAGACTCGTCTCGGTCTCGCATTTGGGCAACACTAATCGCATTACCTAGTTCCCATTGGTCACTAACAGACCCAGTATTTAATTATTATTTTTTTTGGCGGATCGGAGTTTCAGTCCGAAAATATTTTTTTTAATATTTATATAACGATAATTACGTTGGAAGAAACTATATGAAATGGTGTATTAGTGATTCTTGAATTCCTATTACATGGGTAATAATACTTTTAGAGATAATTTTTTCATATGATATGGTTACATTTTACCATTTTGGGCTTCCGCCGAAAAGGACTCCGCTCACTCGTAGATCCACCTGTGCCACTGGTTTCAGTCAGTAACAAGAAATTTTACATAGAAAACTCAATTTTATTGGGAAATAAATAGGTATTAAATGGTGAAATGACACTAATCTAACCTAAAATAATCTTTAAAAATAAAAAATTCTATATAAAGAAAATCTGCTCCATAAAAAATAAAATGTTTCTATAATAAATAACAGTTACTTATTTGTTAATATTATTTTTAATAACAAATATTGGTGTGAAAATTTAATTAAAATTAATAGGCTCATTACTCAGCTGACAATTTTCTTAATCGGATATGTCAAAAAAAAAAAAATATATTAAATAATCATTTGCAAATAACTGCCCATTTTCATAGGTAAGCATTGATAGAATACAATGTGTAAAAAAGGTAATACTAAAGTATATATTTTAAGTACAGCCCATCAATGTTGTAATAACTCTAATTTTCAAGACAGTAATTTTGTGTTTTAAAATCTTAATTATTATTACTGAAATAGATTTCATTTGGAATACTTTTTCAACACAAAATGTATTAATTTTCAATACTATTTTTTTTTAAAATTGTTTTATGTAAGAATAGGAATATTTGTTTCCTTCAACTTGTATAATTATCAATTTTTTCCTGACCAAGCATTTAACTTCAACACTTCAAAGCAAATAGCTACCTCTTCCGATTTAAAGACAAATGATCTTGAGTCAGATAGCAAGAGTAGTTCCTGGATTTCTCTAAATAAATTTCAAGATTGTCTGAATAATAAACTATTTATAGCAGGTGTTATTTAATAAATTTCTTACTCACACAATAATCCCTGAAATTTATAATGATTCAACTTGTTTACAAAGAATTTAAGAGGAGCAGAATGCAACAAACGACATGTTTGTTTATTAAAAAAAAAAAAAATAGTATTTTTAAATGTTTAATTGTTCTTTTTTTTTTTAACTGACTATTTAGAAATAGATGTTTCGATTACTAGTTATAAGTAGTCAAATTATTTTTTCTTTTTAATATTTTCAATACCGAAAAAAAATTGAATATACTAGATTAAAAAAAAGTATGTTTATTTTAAATGAAGTCTAAAATACAGCATATTTGACAGAAATATATAGTTGCTAATATGTGATACCAGAACGGTGAGCACATAAGTTAAAAATAAAACACCAAACCCTAGATTTATCCTTAAGACACTACTTATTCAAAAATACTGACATATCTCGTATCCCTCCTTGAACTCTATCATGAATATTCGTGATAGTAAAAAAATCAATAAATTCATGAATTATTATGTTAGATTCAATTTTTTTTTTCCCCATTCATCTGATATGAAAAACCTATAATTAGTGTTATTCTGACTAATTATTAGAGTTGTATAAAAGAAAAATAATTAATTTTCTCATTCAAACCACTACAGAATGGGGAAGAAGTTGATTACTTGGATATTTTACACCTTTGAGTAAAAACAAACTACACAATGGAAAAGCTAAAAGAAAATAAAGCATGTACCATATGTATTATAAACAATATTCATCCTAATTCTGAATTAATTTTTCAAATTTGCTTACAGAAAACCAGAACTTAAACATCATTGCATTTATGGCTAATAGAGGAAAATAATAATAATATAAAATAAATAAATACCTTTCATTTTGCTTCATGTGCAGTAATAAACATTTTTCACATTCCAATCAAAAATAAATTTAATAATAAAATCAATAACCTGAAATAGAAATATAAAAATTAAGTTATTAGTTTACAATATATCTAAACTGCTTAAGAGATAAATTATTAGTTTCAACTGTTTCATCAGTATTTTTAAAAATTAAATTTTCCAAAAATCTTTACCAAATAAAAATACAAGTCATATTAATCGATGCATTCAAGAATGATATATATAAAAAAAAAAAAATGATATTTTCTTAGTTGCTTTTACATTTAATACATACATTCTATTTGTATTGTTCATGTAACTCAGTGTTAAAATTTCAATTAGTATTTCGATGAACTAAGTCATTTTCAGGCAAGGGCTTTCAGGTGTAGTCCAAACTAGTATCATATTTTGTACAAAAAGATATAAAAATATTTGTTTTTAAAATATCATATTTACTTAACTTTGCAAAAATCATTTTAATTTTATTGTTTTATTAAATATTCTAACAATTTTACAAATAAAACACTTTACAAATGATTTAAATTAAAATGTAGCTTTATTACTAACGTTTTAAGTCCCTAATTACAAATTGTTTTAGTGACATGATTAGGATAAAGAAACATTTTAAAAATAATTCTAGTAAAATTGTTTATTTTTAGAAATAAAAGTTTACCTAATCTGTTCAACAAAAAGTATAGGTAACTCATCTAGTAAAGTAGCTTCTAAATAACAGTGGTTGTATAAAAGAAAATTTAACAAATGTTTTTATTGTAAAAATATTCGTAATAAATCCTTACATTTGCAAGATTGTAATTTCCAGTTTAAAAATAACTATTAAATTTGATATATATAATTCTAACTGAAAATCATCTTGTGTCTGATGGGTGACATATTGTTTTCCTCTTCTGTTGGGCGGGCACTGAAGAAAATGCAGTGTGGATCAATTCTTGGTAAACAGAAAAATACACAATTGAATTGTTAATATCTATTACATTGTACTGTTATAATCACCTTAAATTATATTTTTAAAAAAGGGTATTTACATATATAAATACATAATTCGTGAAATAATAAAGCTTAATATTAATTTCGATGTGGTGTATATCGATACGTAATACACATCGATATCTTAAGTCAAAGACGTACCAAACGAGCGACACTATTGCCATCTTTTGTCATCATGTTTGAACTACATCACTGTGATTATAACACATCTTTGACCCTCATATTTCTAAAATAAAAAAAAAATGCGAACAAATGGAAGATAGAAGTAATTTGATAAAGAGTTAAATTTTTTATTTATGAAAAACTAAATACCCTGTGTTTCTGACACAATTTCATTCCTTGATTTAAAATTATCAGTTATGTAACTTTCTAGGCTTAATTGCTTTTTATATGATGAAAGTATATAATTATACTAAATAAGATTTACAAAGCACTGCTAAATATTATGCTATTTTTCTAGGATAGTATAAATATGGGTTACTAAATGTTTTCTTAATTAACATCTTATATTTTTCCAAATTAATTGAATTTTGTTATCCTACAAAATATGATAAAATAGTATTAGCCAATATATCAACTCAAAATATTCTAGTGTTATTGAAGTTACAATATTTTTCATATAATTAATTATTATTATTAAATAAACTTTAGTCAAGAAATCTCATCGTACAATCTGTTGGCTTTTACATATATATATTCATAAAAATTATTATGAAAACACTTTCATTTTATCAGTTGCTCAGTTGAAGGTAGCCTAACCTAAGAGTGGTAATATTATAATTATTGCAAGAATTAATAACAAATATGATTAAATAGACCTGTCTTACATTAACAACTAGCTACAAAAAATACCATTAATCTGTAATAACTAATAAAAGCCTTTCAAATGAAAAAACAAACAAAAAAATTTCCTCTCATTAAATTCAAAAACAAATTGAGAGCTTTATATTTTCATGTTCCAGATAACAAGTTCTTGGAGTGGGGGACACATCAAGGTTACTACTAACTGTAGATATTAATTCTCAGTGACAGAGAACTAGGAAATGGGTTATGTAGCTTGTTTATTTTCTTTCATTTTAAAAGAAATGATTTATTCTAATTAGAATAGAAAGTAATGATGTATTCATTGTTTCTGATATGTTGTTTTGTGACTGTTGGAAGTGCAACATCGATCAGTGAACTTCTCTTTCCAACTCATAATAAATGTGGTTGTTTTTATTATGTAAGTTATCCTTGTCTGACCACACATGTACTACACTGCTTAATTATTTTACATTTACTTATTGTTTTTATTTCATAGGAGCAATGCCCCAAACTTCATGTACCTAACTGTACTATTGAAGATGAAAATTATGAGGGTAATAATTAATTCCTATGTAAAAAATAAATCACTATAAAATAATGGATAAAATAAATATTAAATACTTGCATTTCACTGTCTTCTTTTAGATCTTTATCTACAAAATTCTGCATCTTCAAACTCTCCTGAGATATGCAACAAGTGGTTTCTGGAAGGTTTTAATAAACAGTTAATCTCAGAAAATGGGACTCTCAAGATATCAATTTCGTTCTCTTCTGCCTTATTCCAGAAAATTCCTCTTAGTGTTCATCTCTTTTATCAAAATCAGTGCTTGGATATTAACAATAATAGTTCATTTCAACTTTTAGCCATGAAACACTCCACCAAGTATATTGCCGTATCAGAGAGTTCTACTGATTCCTGTAATAAGGTAGGTACTTATGCATAAGATGAATTTATGATATAATTAATGATTATCCTGAAATATAAAAGTGTAAGGTTATTTAAAAGGATTTGCCATTTATCTAATCTGATTACTTTTAAAATTTTAAATAGTTTTCTCTTTGTGGTATTTTTATTCTGTGTTTTACTTGTTTCTGATTTATGCCCTACGGCTACTCAAGTAAATGGTTTTATTAAATTATATAATGTCAATTTATTTATTTTTTTGATGAAGGTATTGTGAGTTTTATTCTAATGTATGCCATGCATATAATTATCATTGATAATTCTTAAGAGTTAATTTTTTTTTTTTTAATTTGCTTACTAAACAATGAAATAGAAGTTATTTAAGATTATGTATACATAGTAATGAAATTGAATAGAATAGCTATCTGAAACTATGTTATTTTTTATTTATTTAAAAGTGGAAATACTTTTCTGTTAACGAATTCTATTTATTTCATTAAACAGAAATACCGATAATTTCATTTGCAAGATGATTATTGACATTGTTAAATACAAAATTTAAGTTATGAAAGTTTGTCAAATATTATTAGGTATCAAACTTACAAAAAAAAAGATTGAAGATTGAATTTTACCATCTAATTTTCTATATTTGTTAAGTGCTAATCTGTTAAAAAACATAAAGATAATTTCGATAAACATGGTTTATTTTTAATTTTTTTAATATGGAATTCCTTCATGATGGGATTTAGTATATAAAGTAAAATGTTTATGAAAACAAATAACCTTCTATATTTCGTTTAGAATATTTAGGATAAAATAACTTATATTTTCTGTTATTTTAGAAGTGTTAATTTAATTTTTTGCCCCACATTTATAGCAAATTGATGCCACAGTAATATAATTTCACTAGAAAATGGTTAAAAAATAAATATTGTATGATAAATTATATCATTTTAATGTGTGCTCACATAATGGCTTAAGTCGTTGCCCTTTAACATCTGATGAAGGTCTATGGCAGTATACATCACACATTAGGGCTGGACAATTGTCTCGGGGTGCTGACCTGGAAGGAGGCGCTCGCTACTTGTTAGGAATAAAAAAAAGTTACAAAGGGTGTGAAAATAATTAATTTTAGTCTATTAATAAAGCAAAGGAATTAGAGACTTATTCAATAAAATAAAATTCAAATATTATTTAATATAAAACAATTTAAGAAATAAATCAAATTTTTTGGAGGAAGATGATGTCATTTGTTTGGGGCCGCCAAATGTCTACACTCGGCACTGCTTGTAGAAATATTAATACTACAATATTATTTTATTATTATTATTATTATTAATTAGAAGGTTGTTTTTAATTTTTTTCTCTATATTTCTAATTTAAAGAAATTTAATTAATAATGCCTGCATTTAGTTTTCTAATATATATAGAGATAAAGAAATAGTTGACTGTTAAAATTGTAAGAATGACAAATAATCAGGATATGCAATCATTTATGTTGTTCTTTAAGTTCTTGTTTATAATTTTAAGTTATATATACATTTATATTATTTTGTTTAATTTTTATGATTATTTTTAAGTTATAACTATTAACTCTTTTGTAGGCTATCGAATTATCATTCCCGTATATTTTTTCTGGTTGCTATCAGCTATATATAAACTATGGGATTAAATCAGATATCATTGGGGGCTGCATGTCAAGACCATTTCTTATAACTTCACCATACAAGAAAAAAACTTTACACGATGTACAGGTGAACCACAGCTCTTCGTATATTGGTCAAAGGTAATTGCATATTTTAACGATTTAATTTCTTCTATATTAATCAAAATGTAATGTATTAGATATTTAAACACTGTATGGTAGAGAATATTCAAAATTTATTATTGAGAGATTGATTTTTTATAATGCAGTACATATATACTAATAGAGTTACTGAGAATAATTTCATGAAGGCACATTCTAAACATCATTTATAAATATTAATATACTATTCGGCAAATTTAAAAATTATTATTAAATGTTTGAATTTTGTTAAATACTATCAAAATTATTATGAATCACAACATAGACTTTGTTGGTTTATTTGGCTTATGGTAGAAACAGTTTACTCCGAGATTGGTTCAGTATCAACATATATTCATATTATGATAACATTATTTCAAAATCCATCCATGTACAGTTAAACATTAAATTGACATTTTTTCCCAATGTTAAAAAAGAAAAAAAAAATAGTGTCTCATCAATAATGGTTTTATAATATTTTTATAAGACAACACAATGAATTTATAAGATGACAGTGTGAGTAAAAGAAAAATGTCGGTTTGCTATAAATAACATTATGTACAAATAAGTGCTAAAAGAAAACAAGTTACTTTTTGAAGCAGTTAAAATTTAAAAGTAAAATATATTAAAAGAATTCCTAATAAAACTTGTTATTTATTGTTATTGTTTTTGGAACAACTTTAATGAAAGATTGTTTTTAGTTTTAGTTTTTTTTTTTTAAATGATAATTAATTGATTTAAAACTTCTGGTTATTCAAAATAAAATTAATAGTAAAATGGAAACTTATTGTGTAAATAATTGTTACTAAATTGAGAGATGGTGTGGAAAACACTAGCACACTACTCCCATGTTTATTTTTTGGTAAAATAACTAATCAGGGGACCAAAACAAATGAACTTTATGGTTTATCCCCAAATATATTATTATAGTATACCATGAATGGGGTACCGTTGGATTCAAAATTTGACGAGGGATTGGCAAATCGTATTCTCCGCTTTCGTTTTTCTTTTTAAAATAAATAAAGTCAATAAAAACATTTTGCTAGGCTTCAATACTGGAACGGTGGTGTCTGTAGATTGATCCGGAACAAAATCGGGCTTTGAAGATTTTGATGCATACAGCAAGGCCCAGATTTAAACCCAAAAACATACTATTTTCGAGATAACGTAATGCAAAGGGTTCGCATCCACACAACCTTACATTTATTGTAGTACTGTCATTGAATACATGTCTCATTTCTTCAACTTGAGGCCCATATGATTGAGAAAGGAGAAGTTTATATTATTTATCGTAGGTGTTTTTGTCGCCACATCATCGTTAACTATTCACCAAATCTCAAGATTGAGCCATCAATTTTGAAGGCTTCCTTCCTCTTCAGGTGGGCGAAATAGTCCTATCAATCTAAAAATTCAGGCAAAAAAGTTTGAAAGAAAAAAAAATTTATTTGTGAATAATTAAAAAATTTCACTCTTTTCCCTGGGTTATGTCCATGATCATATAAAATATAGCTAAATTTTCTACAAAAGGAAAAAAAATCATTGAAATCGGGCAAGATCTTTATCAAAGATACAGCTTATTGAAATTTGTAAACATGTTGGTTCCATACATTAATGAAGTTTTAAATTAATTTTTGTTTCGTTTGTCGATTATATTTATCGATAAAGTAACAATTGATTTCTTTTTTTATTAATTTGCCATTTGATCACTTAACAATATGCTGTGCGAATTTTTCGCACGGACCTACTAGTTTATTTTTACTACCAAAAATGGTTGGTTATATTTTTTATTTTATTTATTTATTTGTATCAGTACTTAGTCTTTTTGGCAATATGGAACTCGACAGTAGTAGAACTTAGCTAAATGCGTAATACCACTGCTTCAAATTTTCTCTGCTTCATTTAGGGTTTCGTACTATCTTCTATTTCTTGATTCGTCCTTCTCTTATAATTCATCTATGTCCGGTTGGGCTACCTGGTGCAAGACCTCTTCTTCTTCTTCTTTCGGTTCTGAGGTTAAAATGGGGCAGCCCCACTGCTGCTCTCCATCCATAAATGAATTGTTTGAACCGCAGTAAATTGTACTTACTCATTCAGGAATCTCTTTTAATAATGGTTCTATTGTATATAGACCTACATTATTTGGGGAGGAGGAAGGTGTAAGAATCCTCATTTATAGAAATTAATACTCAAGCTCAGATCTGCCGTTGGGATCTCTTTGCAAAGATTTTTAAGGACAATATGGTACTAATACTCTCTGTTCTTAAATAAGTTCTAGGAATATAGACATATACTATTGTTAGGATTGATATTCATATAAACTATGTTATATTTTTGCTTGTAGACAAGTTTATTCTTCAGAGCATAACAAGTCTGTAAACTGGCCACAACTAAATAAGAACCACATAATTAAAAGTTATATATTTATAACTGAATAGCTTTAGAAAAATATTTTAATTGAGAGAAAATCTGGAATTCACTAAATGGAATTCTATGGTATAAAACTACACTAATATTTGTTACTCAGAAAGATAATTGAAAATGGTTTAAGATCATTTATCTGAGAATGGTATAATTAAGTTAGAATTTTAATGATGCAGTTCATCATAGCTGCTTGCAGTGACGTCCAGCCATGAACACTTGTAGTTTTTTTTTTAAACTGTTCATCGTGGTGGGAGCCTTTATTGGTTACACCAGTAGTTTTTTTAATCACTTTAATTAAAATTTGATTAATCACTTTTTGAAATTAATCATAATCAGATTGTCTTGCCAATGACACGAAATGCACACAATATACAAGATGGGCTTTCCAAGTGCATTTACACTTGGATGATGTTTTCGTAGTTTTTTCCTTCTACACACATGACATCTTCACATGACATTTTAAAAACTTCAATTCAACCATAAACACCAAAAATATTCAAGAAAAAATAAAAGTATGACACGAGTGGTTGCACCGCACGGAGTATGCCACAACAATTTTCCAAGCAATTTCAAAAAGTACAAGAGGTTGAAAGGGTCCGGGGAAGATAAGAAAATAGCAGGGTAACAAGGGTTTGATGAACGAATACCTACCATTACCACGACATTAGGACACTTTCAGAGGTTTGACAGCCTAAAAACCGAGGCTGGTGCATTCCGTGCAGTAGTGCGCCCGCTCGAAGGTTAAATCAATGTTTTAATTGATCAATCAATATCAATATCAATGTTAGGGTTATGTTTCATGGTTTTAATTTGTATTGCAAGGGTAATAATACATCCAATGTTTTGCTCTTATTTAATTGATTTTGAACATATTAGCTGTTATTATAAATTTAATAATAATATCTATTATTAATGTTAAACTTATTTATTAAACAACTACTTATAAATGCCAAACTTATAAAAAGCAATGGTTTCTTATAATATTTTGATTGAAAATATCATCCTTATGATCGAAATAATAGAAGTAAGTATTATTTTCAATAATTGAAAATGTATCTCTGATTTTGAATTTATTGCTTTAGCCAATAATGGCTGTTATTAATACAGTAATAACATAAATTTGTTATGAATTCACAACAGATAATGTTTTATTAAATTATATGGCTTTTTATTATTTGAATTTTTTTAAACAAAAATTGTTTTCATTATTATTTTATATTAATTAATTTATATTTAAAACCTTCAAAAAGAATTTTTTTAATTTGTTTAAGATCTAAAATATTATGAACAATCCTACAAAATCCTGTAAAATTAGTTTGTTGTCATAGTTTTCTTTAAATTTTATTTTCTGTGACATGAAAAAAAAAAAAGGAAAGGAAGTACAGGATATATCGTTGCAAGGAAACATCAAATCGTAATTGTTATCATCAAAACTCTTCTTCGACATGATAACATAACATAAATTTGTCGTTATCAGATTCATCATTAGATTCCTCGGATGAATATTTATGTCTATTATACTGGGTCTAAATGCTTTTACTCCTGAACTAAATGGTAATACTTTCTATTTTAATTCCAAATGAACATCAAATCTCTGTAAATTTTTGTAGTATTTATTTTTCATTTGTCCACCCTTGAATATAAGAACCCAAACTGCATACATTTTTATTCTATCGCACAGAGCTCCTTCCTATTCTACAAATCCTCCCTTCTCTTATCCACTTCTATCAAAAAAGTCTTTTCCCTTTCTTACATTAAACCTATTAAATATATTAATCTTAATAGACTTTTTAGGTAAACTCCAACATTTATAACCGTCAACCCCACCTTGAACTTTTTCCTTATCACTTTTTTGATTTAATAAATTATAGTAATCAGGAGACCATATCTTAATCACAATTCATCTGAACATTCAATGTATGTAGTTGTATCTATCCTGAATTGCAAAAGTTTTAGTTTTGAAATTAAAGATGGTATATCTTCTTTTCTATATTCACCTACTCATTATTTAAATTGTATGTATCAAAACTTCATTAAGACAATATTTGGTAGGTCATTAATAAATAACAATTAAAATATTTATCGGTTATTAAATATGGTTTATCAAAACAAATGATTTAAACTTTGAATTAAAAAAAAAAAAGTTACCCAATAGAAGTTTCCATTTTACTATAGGAAAAATATATTTATATGCTCCAAATGAATTCCTAATGATAAATAAAGAATTTAAAAAAAAAGTAACTTAAGGTTTTGAATCATGGTATGAATTTTATAGCAATGAGCTATCTTATGGTGAGCTGTTGGTATTTTTTGTCATGCAAGTATTCCATTTTAGCCTTGATAACAATGTATGATTCATCAAGTTCGAAACTTAAATTTTGAAGTGAGGAATTTATTCTTTGATATCCAAAATGCACTTAATTTTGCTTTAGATGGCTAGTTTTTCTTCCTATTTTTTATAGAGCTCCTGGATAACCCGTTATTTCATATTAATACAGAGAAATGCATTATCCTCTTGGAGAAAAATTAGATTTTATCTTGGTAAAGTAGGATATATTCAAGAAAAACTATAGTTATAT